TTGATTTTACATCCGAAGATGTTCTTTTGAATCGTCCTGATTTTAATAGCAGCTATCTTAATAGTCTGTCACAGCTCATTGCAAGAAGTTTGGCTTCATGGGGGCAGCTAAATATTGATGCAATGTGTGTCTATGTATGTGTATTTGCTAGTTTGTTTCATAAGTTGTGGAACTAATACATAGATGCTTTTCATTGTAGGATCTGATGGTGCTAAAGCAGAGACGGATCTTGTAGAGATTGTTACTGCAGGTTTGTCTCTTCTGACGGCTTCCAAAGTTAAGTAGATTTAACTATTCTCTTTCCCAAATTTAGTAGATTTTGTTTTGAATTGTAAACAGTGTAATTACTTTAAGATATTTACCGAAAATGGCTCCATGATATGGTATGTTTTAATCCTGATGCAGGTTATTCACGATGGGCTAATCGATTCCCTCAAATAAGAAAGGCAGTCGAGAGATAACTCAAATGAAAATAAAGGTTGACCTTGTTAGTACTTAATATCTTATCCCGGTAATTTTCTTTTTGATGTCCTCCAATTCGTGAAAGCTTATCTGGGCAATAGTGCGGAGTTTAATGGTATCGTGGTAATTCCATTGAAACAACTCCAATTAGTTAAATATTAGCTGGTTAACTTTGAATGAAATTTGTATGTACTGGCCCTGTTCTTTGGCTATGTAACTGGCAATTCTCAGGCATTGTTGAATTGCGTGTGCATGGATCTTTACCCTGATGGCCACAACGGCGAAAAGCACGGCGAGGGAAATGCATAATTGTTGTATCTTTTTTCCTCAAGGCAGCTTGTTGATGATGATCAACCCTCATGCTGCGCTTACCAATCCTCTTAAGTTAGCTTCTCAGTGGTCCGTAACTAACACACGTCGCCCTTTATCCGGTAGAATCCCCAGGATTAGGCACAAGGGCTATCAGCTATGAAACAGAGTTGATTAACCCATTTCAGATATCTCCCCTATTTTTCACTAAGCATTAAAATTGGAGGGTGATGTTTTAAAGTTCATTCACTGAATTTGTCCTCCATTTTCTGAGTTAGGCCTGCTGTTTTAAAAATGAATGGACCATTTCAACTGAGGCAGTAATAATAACTTCAACAGTTTTCTTTTGGAAAAGTTCTCCCGTTAACCCAATAAAGTTTTCATTTTTTCGGGCCATACCCATTGGCACCACTCTGCCAAATTCTTGGTCACCCTAAATGGGTAAAACAGTAGGCTAATTCAATAAAATATTATGACTACCAACAATTACGCCAAAGTACTACAAATTAGAAGCAACGTGAGCTTACATGTACAAATAGGGCGCAACATGACTACTCTAGCGTCTGTCTATATCGGATACGATGACTCTCTTCATCAACTCCCCGGCGACAGTCTGTCACGTCACCTTCCCAAATATCCCCACCGCTCTAGGCGGCTTCCCCCAGTTCCTTTAATGGCTCCAGCACTTGCCCGAATTGTTCCTCACCGAGTTCCATAAATAAAAAAATAGAGAAACAGAGAGAGGTCTTTAAGCATTAAGTGAAAAATGGGCTGTAGGAACGTCTTCTACACCTTAATCATAACTTTCTCAGTAGCTCTAATCACCTACAACATCCTCATCTCAACCAATGCTCCTTTAAAGCAAGAACTTCCAGGCCCTTCAAGATCATCAATTGTTGACCCGATAATCAGGATGCCAGTAGAAAGATCAAGAAGATATGGGTTAACTGCAAAGAAGAGGTTGTTTCACACGGCTATGACAGCTTGTGACTCAGTTTACAATACGTGGCAGTGTCGAGTTATGTACTACTGGTTCAAGAAGTTTAAGAATGGACCAAATTCAGACATGGTTGGGTTTACTAGGATCTTGCACTCTGGTAAACCTGACAAGTACATGGATGAGATTCCCACTTTCATTGCTCAGCCTTTACCAGCTGGAATGGATCAGGTATTTCTTTTCAACTGTTTTCTTTTCTTCCGAGGGGCTTAGTTCATAATTAGACAGAAAAAGGAAACTACTTTGGTTGGACTATAAGAAGTTGAGTATTTCAATTTGAAGTTTACTTTCAATTTGTAAGTTTCCTAAAAGGGCATCGAATCTAGGAAATTTGATGAGGTTAATTCTTTATTGAATGGATTTCTGCTATGCCAGTTGAGCATTAATTGAGAAGTATTTCCACCCCTGTATTGCTAAAACACCAAGCTGTTTTCTTGATAACTAACTATGTAAATAGTATCCTGAGCTTATGACTAGATCATTTGACCAAAACGACGTAAACTTGTAAGTTTTTAAGGTTGGTGATTCTTATTTCTGTCTGTTTATTTCTTTCTGTACTTTTATGTTAATCACAGGGTTATATAGTCCTAAATAGACCTTGGGCATTTGTGCAGTGGCTTAAAGGCAGACATAAAAGAAGAGTCTGAGATTCCTGATTTCCTGATTTCTGTCTTGAGTCAATTCATCTCCATATTTGATTGATTTTATATATCCCATTTTCATTATATATCCGGTTACATACTGATGGCAGAGCCAGACCATATTATTGTCACGCCTATACCGAACTTTTCAAAAGATGGGCTTGGAGCTGCATTTCCTTTCTTCTATATAGAACCTAAAAAGTACGAGTCAGTACTGAGAAAGTTCTTCCCTGAGGACAAGGTTCCAATAACCAACATTGACCACCTTGGAAATTCTCCTGTCATTGTAGGGAAGGTATGCATTTTGGTGTTGCTCAGTTATTATAGCAGCAATCTCTTTTGGTTTTGCCTTCTTTTGATCTTTTGTTGAACATTATTTAGGATTCTCTCAAAAAAATTGCTCCAACTTGGATGAATGTCTCATTGGCAATGAATAAAGATCCTAAAACAGATAAAGCTTTTGGTTGGGTGCTTGAAATGTGAGTTTTATCCAATTTACTCCATACTTTTACCATGTTTTCTTAGGTTTAGACCTTGACTTGAGTATTTTTGTTTCATAATTGTAGGTACGCTTATGCTGTTTCTTCTGCGTTGCATGGTGTTGGTAACATCCTGTTCAAAGATTTCATGATCCAGGTTTAATGAGATTGCCATTCATTGTTTACCATAATAACTTCTTCACACAATAAAAGATACCAACTGTATCCTCCTCATAACTGTAGCTAGCATTTTCAACCATTTACTACTGTCCGGTACCAGCCTAAACATGGAGATGAGCTTTTTAGTTTAGGCCCCACCTCTGGTATGCTTCTAAGAGCAACCAAGTTGGATAAGCAGTCGTATTTGTTAGTAGAACAGATTGGACTTTTGCAACTTTTCTATATTGTTTAATCATAATTTTTAGTAGTTATTGATAGTGAATTTTCTCCTCCTTTACACTCTTGTCTATAATATTCCTGAATTCTGATTAGTTTGAGAAAAAGGCTACATGATCTCCTGACAATCCAACCTCCCTCCCCCAAAAGAATAAATTATCTTTTAGTTTCTAAAATTGATATGAAATGTGAATTATTTCCTGAATTCTCCTTACTGACAGTTTGCCTGTTTTGTGACATTTATCAGCCTCCTTGGGATACAGATATTGGTAACAAGTTCATTATTCATTATACATATGGGTGTGACTATGATTTGAAGGTAATTTATTGTACTGAAATCTCCGTCATTTAGTTGGAGGGAAATGCTTCTGGGTTCTGACCTTTTTAATTATAACCCGACGTATCTGTTTCTGAGTTGGAAGACAAAGATGTCTTCTTTTGCTTATAGAGGGAAAATTTCTGCCCCAATTTCAGTGGAGGTTAACCTATGGAAAGATTGGAGAATGGAGGTTTGATAAAAGATCTTTTGATATTGTAGCACCGCCCAGAAAGCTTCCCCTCCCTCCTCCAGGTGTTCCACAAAGTGTGGTAAGTTTAAACATGTATCCTTCTATGTCACAAAAGCAACTATAGTTATATTGAGTGGCTCCATCAAATTTTAGCCAATGCATTAAAATTTTTTGGTTCTTGGAACAGGTAACTCTAGTGAAAATGGTAAATGAAGCCATGTCAAACATTCCAAATTGGGGGTCATAGAAGAAAAGTTGGACTGCAACTGTAAGATGCTGCCTGTACACGAAAAGCTCCTTTCAGTTAGCATACACAATTCATACACATTGGGTTAGGGAAAAAGAAGGTTAGGGAGGGGGGTGTTTATTCTGCTAGTTCATATTAATGCTCAAAGAGGACAAAATTTGACAACCCATTGGGGATTTGACAATAGCATTACAACAACAAAGATTGCATGTTTTTGCTCAATCAGTTGAGATAACACAAGGTATTTTCTTACCTTCATCCTCGTGGTAGTCATATGTTATCTCCAGGATATGTCTGTCTCTCCGAAAAACACAACCTGCCAGCCAACAACACCAGAAACAAAGAACACAACCAATGGTTTTAACTTATGTAACTGCAGTCGATGAAAGGAGGAAATCTTGTCAACGGGTTTTTAGATCAACCATACTGTCCATACATACGATGCAAGTAAAGCAGCCTGAGATAACAAAGGAAATAGCAAACTAAAAGATACAATGAAATTACCAACACTCTCTCCCCTACACCGCAAAAAAAAAAAAGCTGTTGGAATCTTCAATCTTATTAAATTACACTCCGTTTTTTGTTTGTTGATCCCTTTCTTTAGCGGAACCTGCAAAAACCCATGTCAATAAGGCATTTAATTATCAAATAGTCCCACATTAAATTAAATTAAAAATATTAATGAGACTTAAGCTTTGACATCCATATAAAAGCCTTATTAATATTAACTCATGAATTCGGGCTTGAAGCACCTTCCAAAATCCAAACGAAACACGGCCTATATACAATATGAAAATCGTTTTTTCGACTAGAGAGCGACAGACACCGACTCCCTTGTCTTGGCCCAAGAATTTCTCGGGCTTGGGCTCCAATTTTAACAGTAAAATAACTTCGGATGTTCGGTTGGCTCAGGCCTTACTTGCTCCAACCAGGAGTAACTATTAACTACCAGTATAAATCCGTCTTTTCCTACCATCTTTCACATCGTACGTTACTCTGACACCTCTCCCATTTCCCTATCCGCCTTTGCAAACAACCATGCCTACCTTGACACCTTTCAAAAGATCCTCGCCGTCGATGCACCTGATCCAACAACGACTCCAAGCTCGCCAATTCTCGTCGCTGCCTCTGATCAACGTTTCTAATAATAAAAAAGATTCCACTGCCAGCTCTTTCATAAAATGGATCTCGGGTGTCGCTGTTGGTTCGAGCTTAGGATTAGTCTACTGGTACTCAACTTCATCTTCGGATTGGAGTTCTGCTTTTTTCAAGAAACCCTTTTTGTCTTTCGCAGACTGGTCAACGGAAACTGCTGAATCTACCCGTGATGGCTCAAGAAACGCGTTTCGTAAACGAGCCCTCCCTGACTATAGCTCTACGTTCATCTTCGGAGGTTATTACTTATTACTGTTCTTCTAATTTCTCTCTCTTTTTTATATTTGGTGGCATTAGTATTTACCAATTGATTTTTCTTTTTCCGTTTCAGATGTGTTTAGAAGGAAGGTTTTCTTTAACTATGAGAAGCGGTTAAGATTGCGGAGTCCACCGGAAAAGGTAAATTGTTGAATACTTGCGTTGAATATTGATGGTAGGAATAGTTTGTAAAAAAAAATTTAATCATTCTCATAATTATAACTATTAATTGCTAAGAAGTTGACTTTAGTTGAATTGATCTTATTAACCTTGTAGATTGTAAGGAATTGAAGCAGCTGATCTTTGTTCTTCCAATCCTTTTGGTTTTGTATTCATAATTGACTCTCAGCAACTTATTGGATTGAGTTAGTAATATATATTCGGTCTTCATAACGTGTCTTGGGATATTTGGTTATTTACCCTCTGTTAGGTCGTCAATGCTTGCAGGTTTTTGAGTATTTTGCGTCTTTCCGAACTCCAAAAGGAGAATTACTCATGAGACCAGCTGATTTAATGCGAGCAGTTGTTCCTGTTTTTCCTCCATCTGAATCCCACCTTGTTAGAGACGGTTATTTGACAGGGGAAAGGAGTCCTGGCGAGTTACGTTGTGATCCTTCAGAGTTTTTCATGCTTTTTGATATGAACAACGATGGACTTATATCTTTCAAAGAGTAAGCGGCTGATATCTCACAATTTGAATAGACTCTTAGGCAAACTTTTTCTTCTTTATTTGGATGCTACAAGCTCTGAATAATTTCTTTGGAACAGGTACATATTTTTTGTAACATTACTCAGCATACCCGAGTCTTGCTTCTCCATAGCATTCAAAATGTTTGATGTAGACAACAATGGGTTTGTATTTAATATCAATTTGAAATAATTTTGAGCTGCCTTTCTTTGCTTCCTTAAGATTTTATCTTAAATGTTAGTAATTTGACTGTAGTTATCTGTATATAGGGAGATTGATAAGGAAGAATTTAAGAAAGTGATGGCTTTGATGCGAGCCAATAATAGACAAGGGTCAGTCCACAGGGATGGACTTCGTGTTGGGTTAAAAGTCACTGGATCTGTGGAGAATGGAGGTCTGGTGGAGTACTTTTTTGGAAAAGATGGAAAGGCATGCCTCCAACATGACAAATTTGTTCAATTCATGCGAAATTTACAAGATGAGGTGAGCCTCTTCCAAGTCTTACGAAAATTGAAATCATTTTCTTCAATGTTTGTACATGATATTTCTTTAGTTCTTAGAATGTTTCATGGTACTTTTGGCATGAGACTGTTAGTCCATTGCTTACCAAGCTTTGACAAACTTGGAGCATTTTCTTGTAGCATGAGTAATAGGTGTTAAGATTGAACCAAAATTTCATCTAAGAGGCAAAAGCAGTTTCTATACATCTTTTTTTTTTATGGTTGAAGGAGTTGATTTTTTTTTTTAATCAAATTGAAAGATATCCTTTAAGTTGTAGAATTCTTGTAATGCATGGAAAATTGCACTGAATTTCTATTCTTATCTTGGGGCTTTCACCTTTTTACCCATTTTTCTTTCTCCCCACATGACGAAATTTTGATGATTGTCCTATACAAAGCAATGCTTATTGTATTTTGTAGATACTGAGATTGGAGTTTAATCATTATGACTACAAAAGCCGAGGAACCATATCAGCTAAGGATTTTGCATTATCCATGGTTGCTTCTGCTGATATGAGTCATTTAGGCTCACTGCTTGAGCGGGTTGATGAATTAAATGACAAGCCATATCTTAGGGAGATTCAAATCAACTTGGATGAATTCAAACATTTTGCTGAGCTACGTAGAAAATTGCAGCCATTTTCTGTGGCTCTTTTTAGTTATGGGAAAATTAATGGTCTACTGACAAAGGATGACTTCAAACGAGCAGCATCTCACGTAAGTCTTGTGTTGTTTATGATTTTATTTTCTCTTCTGACCAGTTATAACTTTTCAATAAGAAAGTTATCAAAATTTTGAAAAATCACTGAATTAATGGCGACTTTTTTTAGCTTTATCTATTTTCTCAGGGAGTTTAATGTTAAAAAGGGGTTACTAAAATTGAAAACAAGGTGGCTTTCAGTTTATGTACTCAAAGGTTTATAAATTTATTTTTTTTTCCAATAAAATGTTAGAAAAGTAAGTAGGTGTTGAAATAGGAGTGACTTTGACTATTTGGACAGATGTAATGCCTCAACAGCTGTTAATATCTTGTGCTAACAAAATTAATCTATCAAGAGGACAACAATTATGTTGTCATATATGCAACAGTACCGTTTCTCTCTGTCTTTTTACATAATTGCATTGTTTATGACTTTTGCAGGTCAAATTACTATTAAAATTTTAAGATTTTCATGCAGCGTTAGGTTTTCTAACTTGTGTTTTAAAGTTCATTTAATATATATTTTCAATTTCTTACCTTTGTTTCATCATTTTCCTTTTTTGGTATTCTTTCCCTTTTTTTCTTAATAAAAAACCTCGCCCTTTAGTTTTAAATTTTGATGATCTGCCATGCATGATAATTTCCAAATACCAGACATTTCACATGACACATTATGATGAAGTGATTTATGCATATACAGGTTTGTGGCATATCACTTACAGACAATGTTGTTGAGATCATTTTCCATGTGTTTGACACCAACCGTGATGGAAATTTAAGCTCGGATGAGTTTATTAGAGTTTTACTCAAGCGAGAAAAGGATATTGCTCGCCCTGTCGAGTCAGGAATCGTGGGACTTTTATCTTGCTGCTGGAACTGTTCAAATAATAGCTGCATTGGGCGAGTAATCTCATAATCTGTCTCCGCATACAGGATTTCCATCAACTGAGAAACTTTTGATATCTTTCTGAAAGGTTTAATCTGTTATCAGCTGGTTTTCATTGCTGCTTCAGAATATGCTTGTGAGTTGAAGCTGGGAAAATAGCTGGTGATCAACTAATCAAAGGTATAATCAGTTATTTAACCTTGTGGCTAGAACTGATCTAATTGCATCGCCTCGTTTCCTAACTGATTGGGGTACATCTGCATTGAAGTTTACTCATTGGTCTCTCTCGAGGTCAGAAGCTGTTGCAAAATCGTGATAAGAAGAAGTTTGTACAAGTGGTTTGTGTTGTATATTCCCTGCATAGACTTTGTCTTGGCTCTTTTTGCTTCCCCTTAACTCGTTATTACAGACCACAAAACTGTATAGTTGATTGTTTCTTATAGTTTGTAAATGTTGTTCTCGTCCTCATCTCTGAACTTGGATTGCACAATTATTCATTCTTTTCCTTTTTTGGATTTAGTATTTTTTATCTTTTTTTTTTTTGGCTAAAAGAAGCCAAATTAAGACTCGAGAGTGTGGTGAGAACATTTTCATTGCGTTATCAAAAAATACGTTTTATGATTGAACATTCATATCAGTAGTCCTTCCTTTAGGTTCAAAACAAACCTGTTTTTTTCTTAGTCTAATGTAGCATGTCTATGACCGTCTAGTCCCTATTGTCTAGCTCTTCAGGACCAGGACCAGGACCATGCTAAAAACCAGAAAAAGGGCAAAAAAAACCATGGCTCTTTCAAAGGCAATAAGCCAATACCATATTACATGACAAGTCCATCCAGCAAGATTTGGTTGGCTTTGGGTTTTAAAGGAACAATAAAATGGTAAATTCCATAATTCCCCCCCGACTTTCCAAAGAAAGAGACCGCAACGGCACGACAAAATTTGGACGATCCACTAAACGCGCTTACTTGGAAAGTGACTTTGCCATTTACCCTGCAACACGTTGACCTTTTTTCCGGACAATCAAACGCTAATAGAGAGAATAATAGGAAATCTCTTTCCTTTCATCTGCCACAAAACACCATTCAGAGACAATAATATTCCCTCTTTTAAATTTGCTTTAAGTTCGGTAAAATTATTATTATCAGATTGTTTTTCTTTGATATTATTTTTATTGGAATTTCTTAATCCTAAAATGGGGAAGCCAACGGGGAAGAAGAAGATTCAAGAAGCGGCTCGGAAAGCCGTGGAAGCGAACAAGCAAAACAAAGCCGCCTCCACCGCCGATCGAACATCGAAAGCTTTCGATGAAGACACAGCCATCTTCATCAACATGTCTCAAGAGCTCAAAGAAGAAGGTAACCGACTCTTCCAGAAACGCGACCATGAAGGCGCGATGTTAAAGTACGAAAAAGCCCTTAACCTCCTTCCTAGAAACCACATCGATGTCGCCTATTTACGCAGCAACATGGCTGCTTGTTATATGCAAATGGGTCTCGGTGAGTACCCACGCGCCATTTCTGAATGTAATTTGGCTTTAGAGGTTTCTCCCAAGTATAGCAAAGCTTTGTTGAAAAGAGCTAGGTGTTATGAAGCTTTGAATAGATTGGATTTAGCTTATAGGGATGTTTATAATGTTTTAACTATTGAGCCCAATAATTTGTCCGCTTTGGAAGTTTTAGACAGCGTTAAAAAGGCTATGGATGAAAATGGTATTACTGTTAATGAAAATGAACTTGGTTTGTTTGATAATGAGCCTTCTGGGGCTTCTCGTATGCGAAAAGTGGTGAAAGAGAAGTTGAGAAAGAAGAAAAACAAAGGAAAAAATGTTGAGAAAAATGAAAAGATTGATGCCAAGGTTATGGAAGAGAAGAAAGCAGAGGAAAAGGTTGTTGTGGAGGAGAAAAAGGTTAGTGATGTCAAGGTCAAGGATAAAGAGGTTGTTGTGAAGACTATGGAGGAAGAGAAGAAGGCTGTTGAGGAAGAAAAAGTGATTACAAAGACAGTGAAGTTGGTGCTTGGAGAGGATATTAGATGGGCGCAATTGCCTGTGAATTGTACTATCAAGTTGGTGAGGGATGTTGTTAGGGATAGGTTTCCGGGATCAAAGGGTATTCTTGTGAAATACAAGGATCCTGAGGGTGATTTGGTCACGATCACTACTACAGATGAACTTAGGTTGGCTGAATCATGTGGTGGTGTTTCAGGAGGATCACTTAGGTTCTATATTGTTGAAGTTAGTCCTGACCAGGAACCAGCTTATGAAGGAGTAAGTAAAAAGTTGGTGGTCGAGAGTGAAGAGAAATTGAGTAATGTTGTTGAGAATGGTAATGCAAACCATGGTGTAGAAGCTATAAAGGGAACATGTGTGGAGGATTGGATTGTCCAGTTTGCACGACTGTTCAAGAACCATGTCGGTTTCGATTCTGATTCTTACTTGGATCTTCATGAAATTGGGATGAAATTATACTCAGAAGCAATGGAGGATGCTGTGACAAGTGAAGACGCACAGGAGCTTTTTGAAATTGCTGGAGATAAGTTCCAAGAGATGACAGCTCTGGCATTGTTCAATTGGGGAAATGTTCACATGTCCAGGGCAAGGAAGCATGTCTTTTTTACAGAAGATAGTTCAAGGGAATCAATACTAGCACAGATTAAGAATGCATATGACTGGGCACAGAAAGAATATGTACTGGCAGCAAAGAGGTATGAGGAAGCATTAAAAATTAAACCAGATTTCTATGAAGGTCTTCTTGCCTTGGGGCAACAGCAGTTTGAGCAAGCAAAACTCTGTTGGTATCATGCAATTGGGAGCAAGATTGACTTAGAGACTGGGCCTTCCGAGGAGGTCCTGCAGCTTTATAACAAGGCAGAGGACAGCATGGAGAGGGGTATGCAGATGTGGGAGGAAATGGAGGAGCAACGACTGAATGGACTCTCCAAGTTTGACAACTATAAGGCGCACTTGCAGAAAATGGGTTTCGATGGGCTGTTTAAAGATGCCTCTGCTGAAGAAGCTGCTGAGCAGGCTGCAAACATGAGTTCACAGATATACTTGTTATGGGGAACCTTGCTTTATGAACGTTCTGTTGTGGAGTACAAGCTTGGGCTGCCAACTTGGGAAGAATGTTTGGAAGTTGCAGTTGAGAAATTTGAACTAGCCGGAGCTTCTCCAACAGATGTAGCTGTTATGATAAAGAATCATTCTTCCAATGAGACTGCATTGGAAGGTATGTACAAAGAAGTCATCTTCTCTTGTTGCATTTGTTTTGTTGTCACTTATGTTGCTGTCAGGTAATTTTTTTTGTTATGAAAAATTTATTCCCTTTATTTCATTGCAGGTTTAGGATTCAAAATTGATGAGATTGTACAGGCATGGAATGAGATGTATGATGTGAAAAGGTGGCAGATTGGTGTTCCATCATTCCGGCTAGAACCATTGTTCCGTCGCCGGGCTCCAAAGCTTCATTCTCTCTTGGAGCATCTCTAAGTTTTCTGTTGCTTGGGTATTCTTTTGGAGAATTAGACAAGTGGTTAAGTTTTGTTCAATTCATTTTCCAAGATCAGTATTTTTGTGCTACTTAGATAGGTAAGCTTATATCTGTTCTGCTTATTTATCAGCAATTTTTATGGTCACCTTAATCTTTTAACAGTTAATCATTTTTGGTGTGATATAGTCATTTATCAAAATAGAAACTGCTTTTAGCACGGCATGGTGTGATCTAGTCATTTTAACCAGTCACAAACCTAAGCTCATATTTTGGTTTTAGATGGGTTGTGGCTTCTAGTCAATCATTTGGCCTTTTTTTTCCTTTTACGTGGCTATAAATCTCATTTGTTTCATGATTTCTTTCACTAATGTATTAGTGCTGATGGGCCTGAGGATGTGCATTGTGTTTGATCTTTTGCAGGTCCTTTTTTGTCCAAGGACTGTTGTGTCCAGCTCATTGTTTGTTGTGGCAGCAAAGAACAAAAGTTTGTGAAGTGTCATTTTGATATTGATTGGGCATGAAGCCAAGTTCGGTCATTCATTTTGTCATTTTTGGGGGGATTTTTTTCTTCACAAAGCAATTTGCAGTTTGAGATAGTGATATTGGTATATGATTGGATTGGTTCATTTTCAGAGATAACAATTGGTTATTTGTTATTCATATAGGGGTCATCAGTTGTCGTAAAATTCTATTTGTTTGCTCAGGTCAGTTGTAACTTATAACATTTTGCGCAGTTAACACAGTATCAAAATATTTTTCTTAGTATTCAAATTAATATCAATTCTGATAGTTTGTTTTCATGTGTTATATTACTGAGTTGAAGAATTCATGAAAATTTGGATTTTGGGTTGTATTAACTCACTTTATCTATTACATCAGTAAACCCTTTTCCTTCCCTTCGCTTCCCTCAGCAACTTGAATCCAAACATGGCGTTAGGCTTAAGCCTTTCAAGTGCTGGAGGGAAATTATCATTTATTTTGTTGTTGGACGATATATGAATGCAAAAGCCTTGATGAAGAAGAGAGCATACTAATCAAAATCAGATGATCTATTAAATATATTCTTCTTCTTCTTCTTCCTTTGACAACCGCAGAAGCATTTCTGAATCTGATTTCAATTCCATGGAAAGATTAGGGCTTTCACAAAAATTAGAAGATCTTGGCATGCAGGATTCAACCGTATAACAAATTCGAACTTCGAACAACCCCAATCCCATTGTGTATTTATGTTATTTGGCTTTTTATGTGAAACCCTATGGACAGAGAGTTTATCTTCTTCTATACGTCAATTTCTTTTATCAGATGTCAATGAATAAGGCATAGGATGTGTAGAATATTTTTTATCTTAATTCTCTGCACTCATACTTAATGAATATTTTGAATTTATCTCATTTTCATTTATATAAGTATTTAAATAATTCTCGTACCCGTATTTTTTTAAAATTTAAAAAATAAATTTTATTTTACACATTTAAGTAAATTTTTTATAAATATGTATTTTTTACATATAAATATATTAGTTCTAATAAATTTAAAATAAAATTTATATTTTTAATAAAAAATTAATTTATTAAATATATAAAAATACATACGATACAATACAATACAAAGGAGATGTTATATTACCTATCTTCGTACGACAAACATTTTAAAACTATATTCATCCTTATTTTTATCGTTAAAATTTAATATTTATCCCCATTTCTATTAAAATAAAAAATCGGATTTTCAATTAAATTTAAGTAAAATTGAGATCCCACAAATTCATATGAAGTACAACAATCCTCCTGAGCTTTCAATTTGTTGGGTTAAATTTAGGCTATAGGCTCAATGCTTAATGGGCCTAAAGCTGAACTCAAAAATTCGATTTTTTGAAAAGGAAAATTGCTTAAAATCATATGGTCAAAGCTACTCATTTACCAGAGTCAATGGCAATCATGCCCTTTCGCCCATCACATCACATTGATCATAATTGTTTCCATGGACAAAGACTTGCCAAACAAATCTGACGGAGTCCAATCTGGCTGTCATCCGTAACTTCGAGACCGGCAGTTACTTTTTTACCGGCATCTAACACAACGATGACCTTCTTGATACCAATAATATTTCCAAAACCCTAACTAAACCCCCAAATTTTCAAAAACCTAATTCACTCTTTAACTTTCTTCTCATTTCAATTGGGGTTCCTTTCGTTGTATTCCTCTCTAGATTTTTGGCTCCTCTCTGTCTACGATATGCCAAAGGTCACGCAAATGGAAAGTCTACCCTCAAACGATGTCGCCTTGGACAGTTTCTTGAGCTTTGCACTGCAAGCTATGGTTGTCGAGGCCGCCATTGTTGCTACAAAGTCTGTCACTTGGTTGCTGATGACGGTATAATTTTCTTTCCTTTTTTTTCCATTTAATTTACCTTCAATTTTTTTTTGGGTCACTGGTTTTGAGTGGTCTTTGCTTTCTAAGGATTTATTATCTTCCTTGAATTATTAGGAAATTGACAACTTTTCTGTGATGATTTGGTTATATTATGCTAGAAACTAGAAGTTTGCAATTTTCAGCTTCAATGCAATTTTTATTTCTAATCTTTATTTTAAGTCTAGGGATTTTGTTACTTTCGCTTAATAGGTTGTCTATGATATTTTGATTCTCATATTGTATGGTAGGGTGGGAAGAACTTCATTATGGTGTTTATAGAGGAAGGAGTGTGAAAGCTTTGGTTGAGTTGATGTGACATCAAAGAGCAAACCACTGCATTTAGGATTTAAGAAAAGTTTTGCTATGATCTTATTTGTTTATGTGATTATGTGTTTTGGTGCATGAATGCTTGTTTGTTTGTTATTTGGTGTAAAAATATAATTGTGTAATTCATATGACAATGCGTAATTTCCTTTTTCCGATTCCTAAAGTTGTGGCCTTTGATGTGGGGATCTACTTACTTGTTACACATTGCTCACAAACTGGACTTGGAAGAACACTGTTTTTCTCCTTAGCATGAGTTTTTTTTTGTTTTTTTCTAGATGGGAACTCTGCCTAATGGAATTGATGTCTTCGTCAAAGAGCCTGAAGCATATGCAGGGTTAGTTGCATTAATTATTTTGCCTAACTTTTTCTTGTTCTTCTTCTGTGGAATGGGAAAATTGGTCAATTTGCTTTTGCAGGTTTCCACTTGCTCAGCATCTTGCGGTGGGGAAACCTGGTCCAGAGACTAAGGATGCTGGTGACACTGAGGATGATAATGATGAAGAAGATGAAGTAGCAAATGATCAAGATGAAGATGGAGGTGAGGAGGAAGATGGATCTGGTGAAGATGGTGAAGACGAAGGGGATCCAGAGGATGGACCTGAGGCCAATGGGGATGGTGGCAGTGGAGATGAGGATGACGACGAGGATGAGGAGGAAGAGGATGATGACGATGATGGCGAGGAAGAGGAGGAAGAAGAGGAAGAGGAGGAGGAAGAACTTCAGCCACCAGCTAAAAAGCGGAAATGAGCTTGGATCTCTTTTTCTTGTTTCCTATGGTGTAGTGGCAAGTTAGGATGGGCAGATTCAGGTTGCGGACTAAGGGTATCTGTCTAAATTTGAGTAGAGAAGATTGTGAAATTTCTGCAAATCAGACTTGTTTGATATTTTTCCTAATATACAGTTCTAGTATCATTATATAAGCTCAGCTTCATTCTTCTCACCCCTACTTTTTTGTATGACTTGCTAGTTATTCCTTAGAGGATTACATAATGAATCACCACATGAAGGATGGTCCTGCCTCTGGTTGTTTCCAACCGTGCTCTGGTTTAAGCCCCTAGCTTTTTACAAGATTCCAACCGGAGGGTTAGTAATTTCTGAATAATGTTCAATGTTTCTTCAGGGAAAAAAGGGGTGGTTTAAAAGTAACATGGAGAGGTGAAAGGATAAATAAAACTCTTCCCAATCTTTGACTAACTGAATTCTCTAGAATTGGAGGAAATATGAAACAGAGCTAAAGCCATCCCCAAATTTTGTAAACAAGAACGGATATTACATCGGCTAACTGTTGAGCTTAGTGCCGTTTTAGTAAGTTCTTATATCTGTAAGATCCATTTAGAGAGTGGGGGAATGCCCTTGATATGCTTGCGGGTCAACGGTCAGTGACCTTATTGTTATTGACAGATTGTAGTTTCCTAGCTTTTACTTCTCTTGGCTGCTTGTAGCCTTCATTTCTTGTTGGTAAAGTTGCTTAAGTTATTCAAAGTCAAAAGACACCCATTTTTTAAGATTCTGGAAGGCGTGCAATCAACTTAGAGGTAGAGAATACAGGCTTTAACCTTCCACCAACTCAACTAATATATAAGAGTCCCATTTTAAAGTTTTTTTTTTTTTTTTTCAAACCAAAGCATTTGAAAATCTTTTAAACGTCCAAATTAAGGTTTTTAAGCATGTCAACATAGGACACCATCTTTGTAATTATTAATTTATATAAAAAATAATGAAAATGGTGAATTTATTTCTTGTTTAATTGAAAATTTGATTCAAGTTTACCTATAAAAACAATATGTTTTTTCGATAAGGAATAAAAAAAAAAGTAAGCAATCTACACTTGAGCTCTTGAATCTAAGATTTAATTAACAAGAATTTTCAATAAAGATTTGGATTGGCCTTTTGAAACTGGCTTTCTTTCTTTCTTTCTTTTTCTTTTATTACATTCTTTTAATTCAATTCCAGATAAAACAATCCAATGTTCATTAATTTTTTTTTTTTAAAGAGAGAAAGAAATGGTCTCAATGTTTTTATAACGCAAATTGCATTGACAAGTAGCAAAGAGAAAAATCTAGTTGATCAATATTATAAAAGTAAAATCATTTATTTAAGATAATTTTTCTATCAAAAGATACACGGAAAATAATTTACAAATTACAAATCAATTGATTGAATTTTATGATTCAATTTCAAAATCTAATTGATCGAATAATGAGCAGTATCCACAACTCCTAGTTGTAGCATTTGTAGAAAGGTTATTCAGTAATAACTAAATAATTATTTTCTATCATAGCACCCCACAACTCTGTTTGGAAGATGAAGGTTTTAGTGTGAAACCAAAGATCGATTTACCTAAATTTTCGTGCAATTATCAATTTATCAACACGATGAAGGGGAATAAAAATGCTACAAAAAAGCCTTAGTAGAATAAGCCACTGTTTGATTAAGGTTTATGTTGGAGTTCTTGCATGCTAAGGTACATCTATGTTGATTTATAAAATGTTTAACCAAATTGTAGCTTTAAATTCATTTCTTGATAGTTTTGATAATGCATCTTTGTTTTAATGTTTTCTCGTACTTGGTTGACAAATTTTTTCTGTTTGGTCAAAATTTGTAAAAGATGGCAAATTATTGCCATATTAAGGTGTAATCAGACCGTTCATATCTGATTAAAATCAATAAAAAGAAATGAAGAAAAGGTTCCTTTCCTGCCCTGTATACGCCTAAATAAGGGATAGCTTTTGGATATTAACAAATAAGACTCAAGATACATGACCAAGATGTCTAATGTGGAAACCTCTTGGAAGCTTGGAAATGTATATCTCTCTTGTGCGTGCTTTGATAGCTTCACTGAATTAAAAATGGTGGCAACAGTAGCAGACATTGACCTCTTACACTAAATATGTATTTTCTGGAGAATGAAGTAGGGGAATACCAACTAAGACAGAAGTTTCTTGATATTTTATCTGTTTGTTGAATTATGTTAAGCACAACATTGCAGCTCTGATTGTGATCATGACTAGTAATGAGCTAATCATTTCACATTTATTGGAGACTCCATTACCAGTAACATACTAAAAAAATTGATTCTCTCTGTCTTTTTTCTTTTTTCTTGATGACTAAAATTAAAAGCTTTCTGTCAAATGGGCACTTCACCAAATTATTTCTGATCGATATTTTCAATATTTTTATGGCAAACAAGTTTTATTGTATCTATGATAAGCCAAATAATTGACAGGTTAGCAGAGGATAAACTTTGAGAGCTGAAAATTTTATGTAACCTTGAGCTAGAAATCAGCATACATGTTCTTGAAAGTCAAAAGATGGGTTATTCCCTTTTGGGTTTTTCTTTTGTTGCAAGGACCTCTTCTACTTTGGACTTTTACGAGGCAAACGTACAAGTAAGCTCTCACCAGATCCATCTGCCCCAGTAGTATAAATTATAAATATTTTATTTAATTAATCATATGTTTCTTGCTTGATCTGACTACTTCAACCAGAAAACTTATGGAAAGAGTCTGCGATTTCTCCCTTTCAGCCTGACATCCATGGTTTTTCTTTGATATCAAATGAGATTCTTTATATAATCTAAATTGCCCGACTTTTAGTCGTTCATGACAGCTGATTGCAGAAGGTATTGTTGTTCAAGAAAATGAGTTTCCTGTTTAAGCTTCTGTTTTTATATTTTTGGCTGTATTGGATGAATTTAAGCTCAATCTTTGTCACCTCAAAAAGTAGAGGAGGGCCTGGAAATGTTATTAGCGGCACTGTTTTTGTTAATGGAACAGCTTCAATAGGAAAAACAGATGAAAATTTCATTTGTGCTACTGTGGATTGGTGGCCTCCTGATAAATGTGACTATGGAACATGTAGCTGGGGAAAAGCTTCTCTTCTTAATCTGGTAAGTAGTTTATTCTTAGGCATCTCGGATAAAAAAAATCACAGAAAAATATTTTTTTTCTGAAACTTTTATACCTGCTTCACTTTTACAGGATCTTTCCAACCCCATATTGTTAAATGCTATCAAGGGTAAGCAGTTATTTCCATTGGCTTTAGAAAGAAAGATGCGTATGGAAGTTCAACATTTACAATGTCACTTTTATTGCAGCTTTTTCACCGTTAAAGATCAGAATGGGTGGTACCCTGCAAGATAAAGTCATTTATGAGACAAAAGGTGATAAAAATCCTTGTACACCATTTATTAAAAATAGTTCAGAGATGTTTGGTTTTTCCAAAGGTTGCTTACCCATGTCTAGATGGGATGAACTCAACATTTTCTTCAAAAAAGCTGGGTAAGTAAATAAACTTTATTACCATATTCATGAACTTTGTAATTTGTCTTGTCTGAACATTTATATAACTAGATGAATTATCCTTTTACCTAGATCCAATGCCTTTTACTTCCAACGCAGGGCTATGGTTGTTTTCGGCTTAAATGCACTAAATGGGAGGTCTGTAGGTCCAGACGGTTCTGCCATGGGAGCTTGGAATTTTAGTAATGCTGAATCGCTCATTAGATACACTGTCAATCAGGGCTATACTATTCATGGCTGGGAACTTGGTAAAATCTCTCCCTCAATATGCAATTTAATGTGTAGGAAAAAAAAATGATAATCTTGCCTTTTTTTTTTTCTTAGCAAATTCTTTTCTTGCATTTTTTTTATATCTGAAACAATGAAATTTTTAAATAACAATTTGGTTGATTAGGAAATGAATTGTGTGGCTCTGGCATTGGAGCAAAAGTTGCGGCAGATCAATATGCATTTGATGTGATCAATCTTCAAAATATTGTTCAAAATATATATAAAGGGTTTGAGGTTCAACCATTAATAATAGCACCAGGAGGATTCTTTGATGCAAACTGGTTCACACAATTTGTGCAAAAAACACCCAAATCTCTGCAAGTAGTGACTCAACACATTTACAACCTTGGTGCAGGTACAAGAAAATAGTAAATTGTATTATTTAAAAAATATTTTTTGGAATTCAATTATTAAATTATATATTTTTCCTATATGTAGGTAATGATAATCAACTTATGAATAAAATCTTAAATCCATCTTATCTAGATGGTGGGCAACAAACCTTTAGAGGCCTTCAAACAATTTTGAAGAATTCAGCAACTTCGGCAGTTGCTTGGGTTGGTGAAGCAGGGGGAGCCTATAACAGTGGACAAAATCTTGTTAGCAATTCATTTGTTTATAGTTTTTGGTATACTTGACTAGATCTTGAGAACATTTTTTATATTAATTGCTTGGTAAAAGCTTAATTTAACATGAAATTTTTTATTGAGTTTTATGCAGGTATTTGGATCAACTGGGGATGGCATCATCCTATGATACCAAAACATACTGTAGACAATCATTGATTGGTGGAAACTATGGCCTGCTTGACACTACTACATTTGTCCCACGTCCAGATTATTACAGGTACACTTGAACTCCAAATGATTTATTGAACCAATGTCAGGTTTTGGTCTAATGGGTAACTTTTAACCAATTTTGCGTGAATCAGAAAATTAATCTTCAACAACTGCAATCTGACACATATATTCACATATTGCAGTGCTCTTCTCTGGCATCGGTTAATGGGAAGCAATGTCCTTTCAACGAGATTCTCTGGGACAACAAGTGTCCGAGCTTATGCTCACTGTTCTAAACAATCTGTAAGTGAATCCTTCGCTCAGATTTAGTATCAAAGCAATTTTTTTCTATACTCAGCTAATATATCAGGTTTTCCTTTTTAACAGCAAGGAATCACACTGCTTCTCATAAACTTAAATGCTACCACTACAGTTCAAGTCCGAGTTTCGACTGAAAGTTCTGGTAGCCATGGACGCTTGAATTTGCAACAAGAACAAGAAGTTCCAAGGATAAACTTTACATCAATGTCTAGAAATTTTAAACCTAATGGGAACAGTAGAGAAGAGTACCATTTGACAGCCAAAGATGGGGATTTACACAGTCAAAATGTGGTTTTAAATGGGAAAATACTCATTCTAACTTCATCTGGGGGTATCCCTTCTTTGGAACCAGTAAATATGAGCATGTTAGATCCAATTATTGTTGCTCCTTTCTCTATTGTATTTTCTCACATTCCAAACATAAAACTTCCTGCCTGTAAATAAGGATGAATTCTTTTGTACAATTTCCATAATAAGGATGAAAAAAAATAAATGCAAAATCCAGATTTTTAATCAACTTTTTGACATTACACTCCTATCTTTCGTTTTTTCTTTTATTGTTAAGCCGTAAGAAAAAGTACATTTCTCACCAAATAGACTCATTTCTATCTAGCTTAATAACATCATTTCAACTCATTAATGAAACAAATTAAATGATATTACTTCATTAATAAATAAATTTTTTTAAATATTAATTTTTATATATTTATTTTAAAAATTAATATTTAATCATTAATGTAGTGATATTTAATATAAACTTACTACCAAAACTAATGCTAGTAATACTTAATAATCATCGTCATTAAGATTAAGATTTCACGAGATTAGCCCCATCCAAACTCAATTGAGTAATAATAAAGAATAACGTATGAACAACGCAACAGACAGCTAAATCTGCGATTTAGAATTTACTCAAGAAAGAAGTCACAGCCTCGCTGGCAGACAAATCTGCAAAAAATATTGAAGCTATTACATGAATGATCGAAAGGTCACTGAAATTGATCAAACTTATTAAATAAAATCCTCGGTCCTCCCAACCATTAGTTAGTAATTAGCACCAATTGCAGATAAACCTGCGGTCCATCCAGTAAAAAAATCATATGTCTATATCTACATCTAAAAGAATGATCCGTCCAACGCTGCTGTCTCCAGTAAAAAGACGTCCACATGATGTTTGCGAAAAGCAATATCAACAATCAAGTGCTCTATCTGAGTGCAATCCCGACGACCCACAAATTAATGGCCTTTGAACTGATGAAAAGTTTGCCATGGTCTCTTCTCAAGCTACGGAACACGCCTTATCTGAAAATTAGACAGTGGCATTGTTAAGTTAGTAGGTCACTGCACCTTAAAATGTATATTTGATAAATAAAACCGTTAACCATCTTTTACGAAATTAAAAAGGCTGAAATGCATGCTTATAATAGCCACCTAAAGATTGAAACAGGTAAAGGAACGGACTGCTAAGTCCTAGAGCTCATAGGATTAAATTGATTTGTGTACTAACTTGTCTCTTTATTTTTCTGAAATTGCAATGTAAAAGCTGTAAAATGTTTGAACAGGAATATAGCATCAAGGCAAGTTTACCTTGTCTAATGCTACTGCAGCAAAGACGATTATCATCTATATAAGTTGCCTGGACACCCATCATCCAAGATCCCAACGATATATCATCATGACCATAGGTCTTCAAAGATACACTGCATGTAATATAAGTTAGCAGAGGTAAAATTCAAATTCATTCAGACATTTTAAGCAACTTAAGTCGCATTCAATGGAAGTGAGGAATAGTTCACGGCACAACTTTTCGAAATGAATCTTTGACTATGTTCAATTTTGCTTGCAAAGGAAAGCGGTTGACAATTGACACACAAAATAGATATGTGTTTAGCTTATCTGCCGTTCAGTCTCCAACAAATAAATATCTGCAGGTGGGCTACCCTACTCTGGCATGGTTAGAAGTTCTGATAACACCCATACTGTATTAATCACTAAAGTCAAGACAGCTTAGTTTCTTTTCAGTTTCAGAACCTCAAAGTATAATGTGTATCTCATTCTTTAAAGGTTATAGAATCAACAAATAACAACTAACCTGTTTATGTTGATATACTGTGCAAGATTTTTGGAGAGTACAAGAAGTGAACCAGAGGCATGCCGAAAATACCTGAACAGAAGAAGATAACCAATCAAGTTATCTTATATAGAAATTGCATTGTAACTGGCTACAGTATTAAAGAGTATAGGACCCCCTTTTGAGGAAGATGACACTCAAACAGACCCTTGTACAATAACCAAAAAGTTACAAAGTAAATGAACTTTAAGTGTTCATGCATTTAACAATTATGCAACCACAAAGAGGGAAAGAAAAGAGAATAGCATGAAAAACACAAATATGGTACAGCAATCATCCACAAGCTAGATAACTTACGATTTCTCATCCCCAAATTTCCACCATTCAGGTTCATACCAAGGCCTTCCCCTGAAATCAACAAAATTTAGGTACTTAAAAGCTGGACTCAGAATCTTAGCATTTAAACAATGCAAGCTCAAAATACCATTTTAAAACAATGAATATTCTCCCAGATTTTGTTAGGGAAAAGCAAACATAGTCAAACATTCAAAGATAAATAAACGAGAATGTTCAAACATTTTACAATCAGCAAAGGAACAGCTATGAAATAAAATTTTAAAAAAAGTACATTGTATAATTTTATGTACTCATAAATGCACTATCAATATTTTTGCATCTGGTATGAATAAAATCATTATATGATGTTATTGTATGATGGGGATTTTTTTTCTTGAGAAGATTGCACTTGGTAAGGGCAATGGAAGGAACAGGAAAACGTTCAAAGTAATAGCATATAGGTGAATGTTGAGATCCATCTTAGGTAAAAAGAAAATATCGAACTAAGATATAAGGAAACATACTCTTCAGAAACCACTTCTCCTGACTTCATGCATCCAATATAAGCACTATCTTGGCCACGTCGACGTTCAAGAAGTCCAATCAACCCCTCTGTCAAGTAGAAAAAGGAGTAGATGATATATTAGAGTTCCAGTGAATAACATGAAATAAGCTAAGAGCCAAAAAGTTGTGATATTGTACAAAAATGAAAAGGGCAGAAGTCCTACCTAAGTCAATGTTAATATTATCATCAACCTTGATGTAAAACTCAGCATCCCAATTTTGAACTGCAGCACTGAAGAAGAATTTTACTTTCTTAGGAAGCTCCTCTTGAGCCTCCTCATGACCCTCCTGATAAATCGACACAAGGTAAGCATGCTCAAAATCTAGGTTTAAGCCAGTCAATTTTCAATAAGCAAGTGGAAAAATTTTATAAAAACCAAAGTCTTGCATCCAACTACAGAAACATTTTTATAAAGGTCTTGCTATCAATGCAGACAAAAGATTAGCATTCATTCAGGATATCTAGGCCTCAAAGCAAAAGTTCAATAATCAAGTTTCCAATCATATTCAAATTCTATCACTTACCAGAATAAAGAAATCCTTTGTCTTACGATTTTCCTCATCAATATTGCGATCCAAGCTATCACCTCGATTAGCACTACCAATTTCAAAGTAGTTAATCCCATTAGTGCCTACCAATTGCAGCATTGTTAATAGCAGAGGAATGAAACTGAGCAAAGAAGAGAAACAATCCATATAAAATGAAATAAGGGTTGAAGATTATGGAATACCTCCGGCCAATCACAAAACGTATCACTACTCCTCTTTTTTTCCAGTTTTTTTAATGCATCACCTGTCAAAACCAGAAGAATGTGTATAAGATATTGTTTCTATAGCAAAGTATATGTTCTACTATCTCAACAGCATAGTAGTAGAAATACTATCAAGCACCAGAAATGAAAGTAAAAGCCAACAGAAAACCTAAAATCAAGCTTTAGACTATAAGAAACCAGCATACTCACCTCTAGGCATCCAAGATCCTCTAAATGTATTTCGTTTCAAGCGACTACCAAATCCAGTATAAACTCCAATAACTGCAAGAAGTTTTTGTCCTGAAGAAGACTCACTTTGTCGCAACTGGTGCTTGAGGTATCCTTGACTCTTAGCTAATGTCAAATCCATCTCCGCTTCTACAATCCTCCTCTCTAGATCCCTAAAAATCAGATTCATTTTTCCAAATGATGGCAAAAAAAAAAAAAATCAATCATATTAGATCATACAAAGTGTGAGACAGATGGTAAGAATTAGAATTTGGGAACATACTTGCATCCTAAGACCATCAGCTTATCTTCGACGGTAAGAACCTTTGGTCTCTAGCAATACAAAAACAGAAACATCAGAGAGAAAATACACACGTTCTATCACTAAAAATCTTATTTAACAGTTGATTATGTTGTCGCAATAATCTAATAAACAGACACATTCAATTTTCACCAACAAAGAGTAACAGAGGAGATAGGCAAAGACCAGTAGACTTTGTTTGGCTTCTGAATCCTAACAAAAACAAGGAAGAAACAAACCTGTTCGATGTTCCTCTTAAGAAGATTAGAAAGCAATGTTCTGTTTTCTGCATCTTGCCACAACCTAATTTTCACCAAAATTTTGCAAAATAAACGAACAAATCAGCAATTCTAATTAATCAATTTATTAGCTATGGAAATTGATAAAGAAAAAAAAGCAATATCATTTTTTTAAAATATAATCCAAAATGAAAAAAAATTACCAAGAAAATGGGGCAGTGGAATTAAGAATTGAGAAGCAAAAATGAAGATAAAGAAATTACGAACCGGCCAGCGACGTAGAGCCAAGCGACGCAAGAGAAAAAGGCCATAACCAAAGAAGGCTTGGATGTCTGTAGATTCTTCGATCTCCAGCGTCTATCTGCTTTCGTGGTCGTAGGTAAACCCTCCATCGCACTCTGTACCACAGATACAGATATCAAAACAGGGATTTACTTGCGGTCTCTAATCTCTATTTTATTCGGAAAATTTAGAACGATCCAGTGCGAGGGAATCTGAGAATGAGAGCTAGGTTTAGGGATTCAAGTCAACTGTGGAGAAATTGGGAGAATCACAGACAGAAACAGACGAAATTTTGAACTGAAATTTTGAAGGGAGAGAGAGATCTGGTGCAGAGCGGTTACTTGGCGATGGGAGAGCCGGGTTAACGGATGATGGTTCTTACAAGCCAGGCCCACTTGGACTTGGGCCTACATGGAATTTGGACAAGGCTACACGTCAGATCAGATCAGAAAAATTTGGACTCTTTCTATTCATGGAATCTTGCGAGAAGGTGACCTGGCTACGCTGCGTATATAAATGGTATCAGAGCTTGAAGCTTGTCAAAATAGTGAGAAAAAAACATGTTTTTAAAGCCTTGATTATTGAAGTTGGAAAAGGAAAAGCCAAAAGAAAGTCTTATTTTCATGGATCTATCAACTTTTTAGCAATTTTAATTCTCAACTTTCTACTTCTAGATCTTTTTTGAGTTTATCTTCTTCTCCCTCTCTTGTAGTTAAAAAGTCTTCCCAGCAAGAGCTTAAAGAAAGATATGAGAATGGAGACCCTGAAGTTG